CAACAATTTGTTAATTACATATTTGAACACATTCGTAATATAACCAGAATCTGCAGCTTCAAAAGGCTCGAAATCATGAACTTTCTCTGCGAATTGAATTTTCATTTACTTATCTTTAAGATCATCAAAACTATTTTTTATTTTTTTTTATGCCTTCAAAATTCCTTCATATTCAAAATTCGTAGAACTTGTACCATCCAATAAAGTAATAACGTAGAATTAAACTAAGCAGATTCAGGAGCTCTTCTGATAATTGGTTTCATTAATTAATACAGTTAGGAGTAAGAGAATGTGGCATTTAATTATATTTGTAATTCCATCATTTAATTAATTAATAATTATTTTATCATCAAATCTCAATGATATGCAATATTCAGAACAGAAACAACTAATAATCAAAGTAAGGGAAGGGAGTTGAAATTGAACCAAAGATGCCGAATTTTTAGGTATGCATAGAAGAAGTGCTGTTCTCGAACTATTTCTGCTGTATATTGAACTTAAGAATTCATAAACTATAAATGTAGATAAGAAATAGTAAGGGACGAAGATATTTATAATCGAAATAAAACAAAGAAACTTGAATGATACTAATTATCATTAAACTATTTTGAAAATTGATATTGTAAGCACTTAAAGATTCTAAGAAAAAGAAGTAAATCGGGAGATTTCTAATAACCATACTAGAAATAAAAGAGATTATTTTATATTTCAATTTAATAATTTTAATCTAATAAATATGATTATAAAACTCTTCTTTTTCTATTAGAGACAGATGGCAAATTTAAATAGATATAACGAATTTTTCGATATTATTATTCCCTGTTTATTATGAATTTATAAAGTTCAGATTGATCCTCAAATAAATGTTAAATCTATTGTTTCAATAACAACTTATAATTATCTTTTTAGAAATTTATGAATTTTTATTTAAAATAAAAACAACAATTGAATTAAGTACTTATTTTTGAATTTATGTCAAGACAAACTCCTCTATTAAAGACTAATTTTTTGTATGAAAATTTATATGTTATTGTAATTAATAAATCAGATGAAATGGATATGTTGGTTTTAAACTCCCATTTCTTTAAGGATATTTGGGACTGATGCTTACATTTGTGGAGGCCCACAAATCAAGAATCTTTGATAATCCAAAATTTTGCCTAAGAATTTATCAAACATTCCTTTACTGAATCTTTCATCAACAGTTTCAATCCCTTCTATTTTATCTTTTATCTTTATTATCAATCTCACAAACTCTTTATCTAAGAATTTTTATAATTAAATAATAGGAAATAGAATATCTGTACCTAATAATTCTTATTTATTGGCTGCTGCAAAAAATAGAGTAATATGAATATTAGTATTGTATTAACAATCAAATGGATTTAAACTATCAGCTATTTATTTGCCAAACTTATTTAATGCAATTTAATAAACAATAGTTTTCAAAATAAAGTCTAATAAATCTAAAAATGGAAATATTCCAGTTCCACCACAAATAATAACAATCTTTCCTCTGTTAGGTATTCCATGTGGTGGTCCATATGGTCCTTAAATATCATAAATTTCGTCTTTATGATTATGAATATATTATGAAAAACCATTTTTAGATTCATAACACTTTATTATTAATGGCAATTCTTACAAGTACTTTGTTTATTAAGGTATTTTTGCTTACTATTATGTTGTTACAATGGTCTCTATGTATTGCACAAGTTCCTTTCTGTAAGCAACATTTTCAGGGGCCATTGAAATTATACAAGTATATTACCTGATTGGAGTTTTTGTAGATTTGAGAGATTATATTTAAAAATATTTGCCAAAAGAATGAATTGTAGTAAATTGAGATATTATTTGATATTGAGAATTAGTAAATCCAAAATAACTAGTTTTATCATTTAACTTTGTTATTGTAGCAAGATTCCATTAAGTACTATTTATAGTATTTTCATGGATTGGTATAGCAAATGTAATATTATTTAAAGATCCAATAACATGATTTTTCAATAATGTAATAGCATTTTTGGAATGAGGATATTGTTAGGCTGTTCCATCTTCTAAACCACAACCACCATATATGAATCTAGATACTTCTCGACCTTTTGCTTTTTCCCAAATATATTATCCTCCTGGATGAAAAAAACCTGTTAAATCAATTATTTCATTATTAAAAATCAACCAAAGCTTACTTTAAAATTCATTGTAAATTTGAGATTACTCTAAATAATAAGGAATATAGTATACCATTTTATTCAATATACTAAACTAGCAATGATTCTTAAAGTGTTTTTGAATGTTCTTTCTATTTTCTATCATTTTTCGTGAATATTGAGTATATTTATCCTTTTTAATAAAATATTTCAAAAATGATTCTCCATAAAAAAATAAATGCGTATACACACCAAAAGGAGATGATATCACCTTTCCCATAATATTTCAAGTCAGCATATGTCATATAATAACCAAAACCTAATTAGATTTTCCCAAGAAGATATATAGTGTATCCCAAAATTATATGTAAAAGAGATTTAATTTTTAGATGAGTTTATGTCTTTACAGATTGAATACCAAATTTAATTATGATTCCACCTATTGTTTATAAAATTATAAATGCTAAAAATATATACCCAATTATTGAATGTACTCCCTACAAATTTTAATTACCATTTAAATTAGGAGTATTTCCTGAAATAATCATAAATAATTCTACAATTATTGATGGTAAAACAGCAATGCTCATTATTATTGCATGAATTTCAATTTTATTTTTTAACAGTATTCCATATCTATTAACAATTATACCTATATCCACTAAAATACCCCATAATACAAAATTAGCATATTAATGAAAGTAAAACAGCACATATTTGTCGTTGTTTTAATCTTCTTAATAGTTGACATCATAAGAATCTTATTAATTTATGATTTAATTAGAGAGGAATTATTTTTTAAGATGTTCCCCTTTAATGGTTTCATTTGTACACTAATCCATTACTATTGCTAAAAGCAGCAATTTTATTAACATTTTATTTTATAAATATATTAGATATATTTTCGCTTCTGTTTTGGTTTAAAACAAAAATTGATCTCAAATTATGTCATCAAACTAGAATGGCAGATTTTGCAAATACATATCAAATTACGTAATCAAGGTTTTTATAATACTACAGATAATTAAATTATAAAAATAATCTTGATTTTAAATATATCAAGGCTTTGTTAAATTATTTCTAGTTCTGTTATTTTATCTAAATAATTTTGAAATACCTAACAAACTCTGAAAATATTTCTCTCAATCTCTAAAAGAGTTTCATTGAAATCATTTTCATAAATAATATAGAACTCTCTGCCCAAATAATTGGCGTTCAAATTAATTTTTCATGTCAATCTATTACATTTAATGCAAATAAATTGATGGAATAAATGCAATAGATTCATCTCATCATTTTCCAAATATATGAAAATGTCTGTTATTTTTATTATAAATATTTGTTTAAAGACTTGGATAAAAATAAAAGTTTGTTAAAATATTATAAACCTTTATAAATAGCAACGACTATAAAATAAGATATCAATTTAAAAGAATAACATCTAGATTACTTGAATGAGATTCTTAGTATGTATCTTGATTTTTAAAAAAATAATTAATTAAATTTTAAATTATAATACATGTCTTTCTAATCAAATTTAGTTATTAAGCGCTATTGCTTATGCATTGTTTGTTATTGATTAACCAACATAATAGAATACATACCATCCTACAAAATTCAATTAAAAATATTCAATATCCTCTTGATTTGTATTTTTATCTATTTAATATCTAAAATTTTTTCATTAATTGTAAGATTTTAGGCAGAAAGAATTAAATTGTTATGAAATGAAAGGTTATTTAAAAAAAAATTGACTTAAAAATCTCTTATCATAATGATCTCTTTAAATTCATCATTAGAAAAATGAAAGGCATATGAATAAAAAATACTAATTATTATTATGAATTTAATATAGATAATAGCTATCTTAATTTCAAGTAGCAGTTACCTTATTAAAAAATATTTAAATCAATAAAGTTTTTAAAAAAATTTATAAGAAATAAGTTGAGGATTAATAATATTCAAGTTATAGCAATATAAATATTATGAACTTGAAATTAATAAGTTAAATATATTTTTTTATAATTAATAAGAATTTAATTTATATAAATAAATGTTAAAAATTAATCTAAGTTTGCTAATTACTATTCTTCTAACTTGTTTAAAGTAACATTAATTGTTATAATAGACATGTTAATTCAAGTTGTAATTACATAGGCTCAGGGTCTACAATATTAAGTCTTACCAATCCTGAGTAGGAAATAGATGTAAAGTTAGAAAATAGAATTTTAAACTCTAAAGAAAACGTAGGCTATGGTTTATGGTTAAAATACTAGCCATTCATTCCAATTTCAGACATAAGTATTATATATTGATAGATATATTTTATTAGGTTATTCAGGTAAGGGATATTAGTCAACAGTATAATTTATATATTTTATGTAATAGAAAGAGACAAAATTTAATGTGTTAACTTTGTATATTCAAATCGACTCTTAAACTTAGACAATCACACATAATATTTTTTATTCATTTAAGAAATCTACTGGGACTTTAGTATTTAATTTTGAATATGAGAATTATGAAGGTAGATGGATATTATTCTATTTCTATTGTAATCTTTCATCAGAATTTACAATTATAGGTTTTTATGAATAAGAATAAACAATAAAAAAGAAAACCTAAATAGTTAGCGATATGCCTGCCTATGTTTAATGGATGAGACATACTATAGGAGGGAAATAAGATATAATAAATTAACTTGGAGAATATTTAAAACTATCCTAATTCAAAGGTAGGATATCTTCACTTTTTACCTAGGGACCAGTAAACATCTTTGATAACTTGGAATCTTTTTTACTTGATTGTGAAATAGAATCGGAATGCCTAGGTTCAAACTATTAGTTGTCAAGCAATAATTAAGCATTATTAGGATTAAGCTACTCTAATGGTACAACAAGTTTATTTGAATATCCAATATATGTAATTAAAGGATGGATAAAATTATCATTATTAGAGCAGTCAACTCTAGATACTGTGATATTTCGAATAACAATTAATTAGAATTACCAAAATGATATGGACATTGGAGATAAAGATATATATTTGTAATATCATTAAAGTAGACTTCCAGCATCAAATGGATTTTCAATAACAACTTACTCTTACAACTTTCCAAGTATAGAAAAATACACAAGTTCTAGTACTGATATCATAAAAGAATTAGGACCATAATATTTTGAGTTGTTAATAAAATGGCATTATATTTAATATGAGGTTGGAACTAGTAATAATGAAGGATAACCTTTATTCACAATTTATTTTCCTTCTTTATTACAGAAGAAGAAAACTTTTAAGTGGAGTAGTTAGATTAAGCATTTCACAGGAACTATAATGTATTATTAGGTTGGAGGAGATTAGTATTCAAGAAATTATATGGAAGGATATATAAGTGACCTATAATTAACATCTTATTGTGTAACTCCAACAATTACCTTATCCCCTAATTGCCATTATTCTTGTCTCACATGTGATGGCCCTAATAGTAATAATTGTTTGTCTTGTCCAATAGATAGTCAAAGAATCTAATCAGTAACTTAGAAAATTTGTACTTGCAAAAAGAAATATGTGGATATTGAAAATGAACCTATATGCAAACCAGTATCAGATATTTTTCCATTAATGACTGAAGTAGAATTGGAATTAAAATGTGATTATCAAGGTTATGATATTTGCACTGTAGATAAAAAAGAATGTTCATTTGGTTATTTTTTATACGACAATTTTTGTTTATAATGGTATCATAATTAAATATATTATAGTCCTGGGTATTCATCTTTTAGTACAAGAAGTGTTATTCAATGTTCAAATTGTTTATTTTATCCTGCAACTTTCCCATAAACATTTACATGCTTTTAGGATACAATTACTTATGAAAATGATGAAGATTTCTCTTATTATACTGTTAAAAGATAAGATAGAGATATCGAATTTTATAATGTTGTTCAAAATTTAAATGGAATTTATGAACTATCTCTAAAGTATGGATTTAAATCTTCGAATACATGCAAAGAGGGATATTATTTATTCAATGGCAATTGTATTTCTTGTATCAAAGGATGTAAGATTTGCCAGCACGTTTAGGTATGTCAAATATGTTTTACAGGTTATGTTTTAACTAAAGATTTTTAATGTGATTAATGTTAAGGTTGTGAAGATTGCTATATTTCGAATGAATAAGTGTTATGTAACACTTGTAAATTAGGAACTTATTTGTCATCAGAAAGTATTTGTTTATCTTGTGGGCAGAATTGCTCTAGTTGTGATTCAAATGGAATCTGCTACTATTGTGAAGATCCTTCTAAATATTTTTAAACATTTGATGGTCATAATTGTTTAACATGTAGTATTACAAATTGCATATATTGTTATTAATACTACATTAAAGAAGGGATTACTTATACAACACTTGACATTAATTAGGAAGTCCTTAAACCTGAATAACAGCAGTTCTTAATTGGGTGTGCTCTCTGCTAGCCTAATCTTTATTTCAATTAAGTCACATTGACTTGCGAAGAAAAACCTATTACATTATCCACTAATCCAATTCCTCCAACTGAACCTTCAACAGGAGGTGGTGGTGGAGGAGGAGGAGGAGACTTTTCAAATTAAATGGATGATTGTACTTTTGGCATTATTACAAACTCATCTGGAGATAACTTTTGTTTAATTAGTTTAACAAACAAAAGTGCTATTCAAAACACAGATTGCTAATCAATCTCAAATTGTTAACAATGCATTGAAGAATATAGTCTAACAATTACATTTTGCATATTATGTGCTGAAGGATTTTATTCATCAATATTAAATGGGGAATGTTTGAAATGTGATTCTAATTGCAAGACTTGCATTCAGTAAAGTTAAACTTATTAAGATTATTGGAAGTGGAATATTAAGGCTTATTATAAGTACATTTTTAATAAAGATGATTCGCATCCTTTTGAGACATATGCTGTATAAACTTTCCAAAATAATTTTGAAATCATATGTACTTCCTGTCCTTTAGGATTTATGCTATATTAAAATGCATGCATCAAAGATTGTGATATTGAATGTACTTAATGTGAAATTATTAATGGTGTTGCTACCTGTATATAATGCTTAGAAACTCCATATGGCTTTTTAAAAAGTCAAGATTCAAATGGAGAATGTTTAGCTTGTCCTAGTAATTGTGGAGCATGCTTAGAAAGAACGAATAAAGAAATTTAGCTATTCAATCCATATTTCTTATCAACATAAAAAAATGAAAAATATGCAAGAATTTGTTATGAAAAATTCAATCTAGATTCACCAGAAGGTCAATATTTTAATGATTAATTGCTTAAGACGATAACTTTTTGTGAAACTTTCAATAAATGTTATTATTAAGTTATTTTGGTTTAAAATGTTTATTGTTCTTATAATCATTACAATACAACAGCAAATTAACTCTCAGAATAAAATCTAATAGCTTTTAAAATGAAAAATATTTTTATTGATGACCTTTTTCATAAAAAGTATTTATCATCTGTCGAAACTTAAGGATTGTTTTAATATCTTAATGAAAAAGTAATCAGAGAAGTTATTTTTGAATATACTTTTATTTCAAACAACAATGAAGTTTGTACGATTCCTTCATTTTCGCAATTATTTTCAAAAATTTAGTAAAATGTCTTCTCTGTTTAAACTCTTGATGTTAAATTTATCGGACAGTAAAATCCAACAACTATAACTTTAGAATCCATATTAACATTAAGTAATTTTACAACTATTACTTTTCAAAATATTTAATTTGATACTGCCAAACCAATCAATTCAAATAATTGGCAAACAGCTATTTCTCTTGAAAATACAGCTTTTAGTTTAAATTTAATATTTCAAGACTGTATTTTTACTACTAAAAATTCAACTCCAACTCTATATGAGTTTTATTTTCACTCTGAATATGGTTACTCGCTTATCATGATTAATTTAACAATAAAAGACTTTAAAGTAATAAATTCAGAAATGTTTTCATTCACATCAAATTCTCGATTCCTACCAAAAAGGTTAATTGTTTCTGATTTAAAGATTATCAATTCTTATTTTTTGCGTACAGATTTTTTTTTTTTTGAAACAAAATTAGATAATCTTTTATTTGACATTCAAATTTAAAAAATAAATATCACTAATACAACATTCGAAAACTCATGCTTTATTAAAACATAAACACAATTATAAAATGATATTGGTGTTGTTCTGATTAAAGAAATGGAACTAAAAGCAGTTATAATTAAAGAATAATCTTCACTCCTAAAAATTCAAGGAGCATCATCATTTTAGCTAAAAGGTTTAAATATGCTTGATAGTATTATATCATCAAGTTCTTATCTCTACTTATGCAATATCTTCCAATTACAGAATATACATATCAAAAATGTTACAATAATAAACAGTACAATCTTTAGCAATGATGTTGATTACTCTCAATCTTATGACGCTTTAATAAATGCTGCTCAAGTGTCAATTATTAATTGTCAAATAGAGAACGTTTATTATAATAGTCAACAAGCTATTTTAAAATTAGTCTAATTAGAAAAGCTTTCTGAATTTAATGTATCTATTTAACAATTTTCATTACAAAAAAGCTTAATTACAGTAAAAATTGAAAATAATTATATATCTTATCAATAGTCCATTATTTATATAGAATGTTAAATTTGCATATTAGAAGATGTAGAGATTTTAAGAGGTTATGGATTGCCAGAATTAACAATTTTAGACTCTCAAAGTATATTTTTAAACAACATAATTTTTACCTAATCTATGCTTTACCATTCTAAAACACTTCATTCATCAGTTGATTGTATCTTTAAGTATGCCTATGACTAAATGTTTTTTTTTTTATACATAGGATTATATTAAAATATCACCATCAATAATTTACAATTGACTGATTCTATAACATACAATAACCCATTCATAATTATTAAAGGTTACGATCTAATGGAGAAGATACAAAATGAGTTTATAAGCATCACCAACAGCAAATTTGAATCAAATATGTTGATTATAACAAAGACTAATAGAGCTTCCTCAATTATACAATTCTATTCAGAATAAATTTGCAAAATCAATTTAAATAGAGTAAATTTTAATTACAATCATCTAAATGAATATATTCAGGATTTATCTCGATAATCATCATCAACTTTATTTCTCCAATTATAATAAGGAGAAATCATAATTGAAAATTCAGTTTTTAAATAGAATTTAGTTACAAATGCTACCGATTCTATATTGTATTTAAAAGCAATCAATGTTTTATTTCAGAATATTCAGTTCTACAAAAACAATATTTTATAACTTTCAATAATTAAAAGGAATCTTTTATTATTTGATGACTATTAAGAAATAGATGGTCTGAGTTTAGTAAATGCATTTCCAATTAATTCAAAAAGTGGAAATGGCTTAATAATTACAAACATTCTCACTATAAATTGCACATCAGTGGATAATTCTTTTTCATAATATGGAGGTGGTTTCTATATTGTTGCTTAAGGTACTGGAACTATCAATATTTTAAATTCTATGTTTTAAAATACATAAACTGCTTTATCAAGTTCTTCCTTTTCCACAGGAGGTTGTTTATACATAGATGCTTAATTATCTAAATTAAATCTTCAAATAGTTTCAACAAGTATAGAAAAATCCTTTAGTAGAGTTGAAGGAGGTGGCCTTTATATTATTCCTTCATAACAATAAAATTAAATTAATCTGTAAAATTTAACTATTAAAAATTGTTTTTCAATAAGATATAGCTTTTTATCCTATTTATTATCAAACCTACAGAGCATAAATTCGAATGTTTAGTTTGATGGAATTGAATTTATCGTTACATAAGCAGGTTTTATGAAATATTTGTCACTTCTAGAATCTCCCACTGAGGACGACTTAGATTCAATTAGAAATAACAATCCTTTAATTAAAATAAAATATGGAACTGTAAAAATTGTAAATTGTAGCTTCATTTCAACCCATATTCAATTTTTATTAGATATTGAATAAGCAACCAACATTTTATTAAAAGATATTACCATTACCAATTCAACAATCTTGTTTTCCCCTTTAATGCGATTAAGTTTAAGATAATGTAATATTTTATGAATATTAAATAGAATGGAGTGGAAATATTTTATTGATCAATATTAAAGTAAATAACGTAAAATAATATTTTAACTATTCCGATTCAGAGTGTTTGATTTCAACATTTTTAACAATTTAATCTTTAACCTGTAAAGTAGGCATTCCAGAAATAGATCCAATTATAGAAGATTATAATACATCTCTTTAATTAGAATATTAATAAGTGTGTAATTTAAATTAAGTCTATAAAAATACTACTTATAATTTTAGTTTGTTTGAAATAGATAACTTGAATTCATCTCATTTTCTTCAAGTTGAAGGTTTGAACTTTAATTCAATATAGTGCAAATCTTGCTAGTATGGCATATTCAGGATTAAGGGAATATTCGAAACACCTAATGAGAATATTTTGTTTAATTAGGTTTAGATTTTTGATAGTGAATGTGGTTAAACAGGATGCCTTTCATTAATATAATCAGTAGACGAGCCATTTTTAAGAAGTGATTTACTTTAAATTAATAATCGAAGATAGCTTCAAAAACATGAATATACATAATTAATAGAGAAATTAGATCATTAAGCCATAATAATGAATAGTAAATTTGTTAATAATAATGCTATATATGGTGGTTCTATTTTCATAGTCTAGACAAAAACAATATTTAATAAGTGTTTATTTTAGAAAAATAAGGCAGATTTAGGTGGAGCTATATATTATTTTTCAAATTAGTCTTCTATACTTATATTTGATAGTGAAATCATTGATAATTCAGCCTAAATAGCTGGAGGTTTATATTTAAATAAATAATAACTTCAAAAAACTGTTTAATTAGATGTATTTTTATCTAATAACAATTCGACTCTTTTTGGATCAGATGTTTTTGAGAATCCAAGATCATTGACAATATCTGTAGATGGAGGACAGACCTTCCTAACTAAAATAATAGTAAAAAAAAATGTAAGCACAATAGTTGAGAGAATAATAGTGACTCCATATAAGATATTGGGTTAATCAGAAAAATCTAAATTTTTAACATTTCCATCAGGAAGAAAAATTTCAACTTATTAATATTTTGACTAATATACATCAGAATACATACCTTATAATCTAACTTTTAGAATTATTGCTTTGAACAAATATAACACTCAAGAAAAAAAATTAGCAGGATCTACTTGTACAATCACACCAACAATATTGAATTTTACAAATGAAGAAATTAAATAAGAATTAATTGGAAGTTTATCTTATAGCAAAGTTAAATTTAATGATCTAAGTGGAGATTATAATCTAGATGATTTAACGATCTACTTTAATCCAACATATGAAGATGACATCATTTTAAGGTTGAATATTTAATGTGATATTGTCTCAATACCAGAATACTAAGATACTGCTCCTTATTTAATAAAGAATTATTTAACAAATTATAATTTGTAAGTAGATATCAAAACTTTCTAATGTTAATTGGGAGAATTTTTAAATACAACTTCTGGAGCTTGTACATTGTGTGATATTATTTAAAATTAATACTAAGTTTAGTGGAGTGCTCAAAGTTGCAGTTATAAAGATGACTTAAAAATGAAATCAATAGAATCTTCTATGATTGAATTAAGAGAGAATTACTGGAGAGCTTACTATTATAGTCAAACTATTGAACATTGTTACCATTTAGTTGAAAATTGTTAAGGTGGATGGTCTCCAGGAGATAAATCATGCATTTTAGGGCATGTTGGTGCCTTATGTGAATAATGTGACTTATATGATACCAGAGGAGATGGATCTTTTTCTGTTAGTTCTTCCTATTCTTGTGGAAATTGTGATTCAATAGTTGGAAATGTCTTGACTGTGTTTTTTATAAGTATTTGGACACTTATTTCTATTTTGATGTCGGTTACTAGTACTGTTCAAATGATTGAAGAATTTATAGTGGGTCTTCGACTGAAAGCATTTGGAGTTACTGTTGTCATCAAATAAGCCTCTACTGCTATTTTAATTAAAGTCTTTACTAATTATTTATAAATCATTTCAACAATTGCTACATTCCAATTACAGGTTCCTTCTGGCCTAGCATCAATAGTTAATAGTGTTGGTAATCCTATTGAATCTATGGCATACTCTTTAGATTGCTTCTTAATTAATATTTCGGATATCCTCATCATTTATTTTAGAATTATCTGGAGTCTTCTAATGGCATCCTCATATATTACAGTATTCTTTTCTTTAGGAGGAATGGCAATTATTACTAATTCAATCAAATTTAAGTTTTCATTTATTACTACGGCACTTATTTATGTTTTCATATATTTACAACCAAATTTAATTGGAGGATTAATCTCCTTAGTTTCTTATAGAATAATTTCAGATGAATATTGGATTTAAGGCAATGTTGCCTATCGTTATGATACGTATCAACATTTTAAATGGTTATTGACTTTTTGCTTTCCATTATTATTTTTCTTTGGAGGTATAATGCCAACTTATTTGTGGTATGGAGTAAGAAAAAATAAACATAGATTAGACATCACTAAAGTGAGATAAATTTGGGGTTACCTTTATAATGAATATAAACTACACGCTTATTATTGGGAAACAATTAAAATCCTTTAAAAAGAATTAATCATTATAGTATTAGCATATTATGAGGATCACATTCCTATTAAAGCTTCTCTTGTATTTTTAGTATTATTTGGATACAGTTTTCTAACTACTGCTAAAAAACCCTACATGACAGGGGATCTTAATTATTTAGACACTTAATCAACTATCGTCTGTGCAGTTTCAATCATTTTAGGTAGCTCTATATATACAGCTTAATAATCAAATTTATAGGAGATCGTCTGGCCTTTTTATATAATTATTGGTATATTGAATGCTCTATTTGTTGTTTAAATGCTTATTAAAATATTGTTTGCATATTTTGTTAAATTGCATGATCAAATAGATTAAGTTAAGGAATTTATTATTAGTCATTTTCCAAATATTGTTAGAAGGCACCCATTCATATCCGAGTTATTTGAAAGTAGAAAGAGATAATAGGATAGAGTTAAAGGAAGGTTTGCAAAAATAAGAGCATATCTCATAGTTTAAGCTAGATAGATATTAGAGTTTAAAAAGTAATTAATAACCAATATTTAGATTAAATAATTTAGACATACCTGCTAGAATCAAAACTGAATTATAAGATAGTTAAGAGGCTATATAAGAAAAAAACGAACAAAAAAGTGGTATACATTCTCTCAACAGTCCAGCATCTATATGTCCATCAGATAAGTTGGATTATAAAGTTGATGCACAATTTAAAAAACCTAAATCCCCTAAAATATATCCAGAATTCCCAATACGTTATATATCATAGGATAGTTTGAAATCAAGTTTTCAGCAATCATAAAGTTGATGCTTTTGATTAATAATTTTTTTATTTTTACAGATAATTAATATCTTTTGGATATAATTTTAATTTTCTATGAAGACAAAATCAATATTTTTATAATTTATTATTTTGGCAAACAATATATCATTTTAAATATATTTATTGATTGAAATAAATGTTTATATATTATCTTGATTTATCTTCATAGCATAAAACAAATAAAACTAGTCAATTACTATTATTTCAAAAAAAACTATTTCATATCTTGGTTTTTCAATATAAAAAAGAGATCATTCTTCTTTCAATACACTATTTCAATTTGCGATATCTTAGATCTAAAATAGACAAATGCAAGGCAGCAAATACTAATTAAACTTTGATTTAATATTTCTTAAGAATCATCCATTGATCTAAACTAAAATTATTAATGTATTTCATTAAAAAAGTGTTAACTTAGAATTTTGCTGCAGCAATAGAAATCATATTTTAGATAAAAAATTAGTTACAAGAATCTATGCTAATGGTTTTATAGTAAACAAAAGAGAATGAAGGTCATTAAGTTTGTTTTGTCATATTAAATAAATGATATCAGACTCATTTTCAGTTTTTATCTTATTAATATTTATTTAGAGTTGGACTTGGAGGATAAATTGAAAAATGAAAACTACCATGAAATAAATACTAAAAATATAATTTGTGAAATTACCTAGAATGCTTGTTTGGTTGTTTCATTTTCAGTTTTAAGGATCAATTATTGAAGCATATTATCTTTAGAAATTTTTACTTCTTCAGTTTCTGCGACAAAGATGTTGAATAAAAAATTTATTTTAAAACATGGTTTTGAAAGTGATGACTTTGATAATGCAAAATGTAAAATTAATTTTAATTTATTCTTCCCTAAATTTTTATGTGCATCGGGTCAAAATAATTATCTTGTTTTGGTTAAGTTTTTTTAATTTATCAGGAATAAAAAATAATGCTAAATAATATTCAGTTTCAAAGGTAAAACAAAATCTTCAAAATTTATTTCATTCCTAAAAATGATTTCTAAACAATATCTTGCTATTTTTTTTAGAATATTTTTAGCTACAGTTTGATTTATTTTCGAGTTTTCAATTAGCCTCTGTAATTAAATAAAATCAAACTGATGACATAGCAATAGGAATGGTTTAATGGCATAATTTTTTTTAATCAAGAAATTTTATTTTTATTTTTGAATTAGAATTTCAAATAGATATAACATTTTTGTTGGTTTCAAATTTTTTATAATTTATTTAGGTGATCTTTATGATCTTCGGATATCAAAAATCAATGATCCCAATCAAATCTAGTAACTATAATAAGCCTAATTTTGTGAATTTTATTATTTTGTATAATGCAAGAAATGTTAAGTGAATCATTTACTTTTAAAAAATTAATGTACATCTACAATCACAACAGGATTGCCTTTAATTTAAGATGGAATTCATCAAACGATTGGATGCAATAAATGCAATAAAAGTTGTCAAATTCAAAATCTTTAATGTTTCAATTCTTATTGCTTATGTTGTATTGTAGGTTGGACACTTATAGATGGAATTATATTTCAAATTGGGAGATAATTAAATGGCAGTAATTTCTCAAGAAGAATTTCACTCCAATTAAGATGATTGTCTAAATTGTAAGTTTTTTATCCTATTTATTTTTATGGAGATGGTAAATTATAATAAAAAGAATAATGCGATGATGGTAAATTATAATAAAAAGAATAATGCGATGATGGTAATAATATTTAATTTAATAATGCTATAAATGTGAGTGTTCATGTCCTCTCTACTGTGAAAATTGTCTTCAAAGTATTTGTTATGAATGTTAGCCAAACTTTTAATTGATAACACATGTTATTATGGCTGTGGCAGTGGAATAAAAGTTTATGAAGAAGAATGTGATGATAGTAATATCATTATGGTTGTACTTCTCTCTGTAAATTTGAATTGAATATAACCGCAAAGAAATCTCTTTTAGTTATTCCGATTGTTAATATTCTCCCTCTCCTTATATGATAGTCAAATTCTTAAACTAAACTTATAATAAGTATTATCATAAAATTACATTCTCTTTAGCTATCTATTTCAATAAGTATTATATTTTTTAAACTCTCTTTAACTTTAGCTTTGATTAAGATGGCATTTCAGATTATTTAATCAAATTAAAATCCAACTATTAATCAGTAATCGATTTAATTCGAGACTTTTAATTTAAAGTCCAAATTCAGCTTTACTTCTACAAATACTTGAATTGTAAATCTTAATATTTATCTTAATAATTATGTATTTAATTAAGAGGATATCGAAATACTCAATCCTAAACAAAAAATTAATATTTCAAAAGTAATTTGTCTCTATGAGTGAATCTGATGTAGAATAGACAAAAAAACTCATTTCATCATAAAAAGCTAAAATTAATTATAGCTTAGGGAATAGGTGAGGCTATGGTTTTGATTTGTTGGAATTTTCAAATCCTTGTTAAAATTTTAGATTACCTCTAAAAAATTTATCAATATCATTTATCCTGAAAATCTTTACATTTTTTTCGAATCTGCTAATTTAATAAGTATTCTACCAATTTTAAATTATCTCAACATCAATTAACTTTATTCATAATTTTGTTTTAGGACTTTATTGAGTCTTATGCTAAATTACAATTTTACAACTTAAATGCTCATGCTTAAACTAATTTTAAATTTTTTTATTTCTTTAGGTTATGTCAACTTTTTTATTTTTTATTTTATTGAAATTCCTTTGTTACATCAGCTTTAAAGTAATTTATAAAATTATTACCTAATATTTGCTAGTTTTAAAGCTCTGAACTTTCAAATCTAAACTACTGATAATATCGTCCAATTGAATCTATAATTTTTTTCATCAGATCTAAGTTTTTATCTATTAATTTTATTAAGATGGCTGAGAATGCCTGAGACTTACTATTTAATGCATTTTTATAATTATGGTCTTCCTTATATTAGGAGGTTATTTCAGTATTCTAAATAGCATTGTGCTATATTATTTGGCTGCCTCAGCAATATTTACAATCTATTCCTTTAAGCTGGTCGACTAAAGAAATAAAAATAAATTAAACTATAAAAACAAGGCTGTTTACATACTTAAACTGTTTTCATTTTATTATTTCTTAATATGTTTTCAAAATAATCAATTGATTTAATGACAGCAAATATGATTTACTTAATAATTTATCATCTTAAAAATTTCAATAATTTCATTTACATTTTCCTTACTATTTTATCTATAGGATTACAGCTATTTAATTTATGAACAAAATAAAATCCTTTTAGGTTTCTCTTAAATTTATATTTTGATTTCAGGTTTGCAGGCAATTTTCATTAAATTGATTATAATGATATTTTAATAAATCACAAAAAATTGTGTTAAAAAGAAGAAGAAAAAAGAAGCTTTCAATTAATTTTTCAAGCGGTTATTTGATTCAATATAAATTCTTTTAAAATTTAAGAATAAATCGTTATTCGATAAATCTTAATAATTAATAAATATAGCTTTTAAAAAAAACAAATTTTTTTCAATATAATATCATTAAAAAGTTATCAATATAAATATCTCTCAAATTTATTTTAAAATTCTAATTCATTAAATTTTTTAAAGAATATTCTTTCATTTGTAATTATTACTAAATGTAAAAGTGCTTTAGCAAAAGCCCGAGAACTTATGTTCCAAAAATGTAAATACTATATTTGAAATTGATATCATACTTTTTTTAATTAAACTTCTATTTTTTTCTAACTAAAATTTTTCAAGTCCCATAAAAATAGCCATATCGACTCATTATAATTTATTTCACCTCTTGTTTAAAATATTATGATATAATCTTAAAATACAGTGTGAAGAAGAGTTTAAGATTTTACTTTTTTGATTAATTTATATTATTAATAATTCTTATCGAATTTTCTAGTTCTACATACTTTTTAAATTGTCTGTATAAAACTTAATTTTATAATAATAACATTTTAAAATTTAAACTCTGGCTTGTTTGTTACAAATAAAAATCTATCATTTAATAAAGAGAGGTTTTATATGATTGCAAGAGTGATTTCATCTTTTTTTGTTTTTTAAGTCAAACTTATAGCATTTTCAAAACTGATATTCCAACTAATCTCCTTTTTTGTTTTAAAATTAATAGCTAAAATCTTATATTCTGATTAAAACAAGCCAAAATGATTATCTTTTTCAATTGGAAGTATTGTTTTAGCTTATTCAATGATAAATTAAATTTGTAATAAATATTTTTAATTTTCAAATCTTTAAGTGGTTTTATATAAAATTTCCACTTGAGCTTTTGGCTTTAATATTTTTTCACAAGCTTAAAATCTTGGCTTTTAAGAAAATTTAAGTTTTTCAGGAATTATCTTTGATACATTGACTTTTAAATGATTATTTTCGTACTTGATACTATCTAGGCTTGTTTCTGCAACATGTTTAATTAACGTTTACCTGTCCTCCGAATGATAAACGTTTCGCATTGATTTTAAGTTTATGTTAATCAAAAATGAATCACAAGAAGAATTGATAATTTTTTTATTAGAATAAACGACATTATATAAAACATTTCTTTCTCTCTTTGAATTTATTAATCTTGATCTTATCTATTTTTGATACGGATAATCTTGTAAAGTTTAAAATTCAAAATTATTATCAACTACTTCCTCTTAAGATTTTTAAATTTAGAAATTTTCTAAAATGAATGTAATCTCTCCATCAACTAAATCTATACAATTAGCAAAAAACTAATATTTACTTTAATGCTTAAAATTTATAAAATTACTTTAATTAAATTATAAACTCTTTTGAAATTTATAATAAGATTCCTTGTATTGTATTAATTTTGCTAAAAGTTTTTCTGAAGATAATTCATAACAAAATGTTAGATAATATTTTCTTCCAATTTTTCTAATACATCGATATCTTAATTTATTTTTTTTTTGTTAGCCTTTTTTTATTAATTCAAAGTGGGCCTTGGCTAATTTATATCTATAAAATCTTTGAATAATTATAATTTTTCTAGAGGTATAATTTTGTGATGTTTTGGATTTTTTTTAAAAGGCCATATATTTATTTTATGATATAGGCAACTTTTAGGAAAAATATAAGGAGTTACGTCTAATCTTTATGATACTTTCGAGAAAATTAATTAATTTACTAAATTTAAAACGATAATCGTCTTAATTATTATATCCCTATATATTTAAGAATTCTTAAAAGCTTGATATCTAATAGATAGTTTATTATTATTTATTTAAATAGAAAGAATTAGCTAATTAAGCCAAGTCTAGTAAAGCTAATTATTAATTGAAAAGAATTCGGATTTTATTTTTCTTATATCTAAAAATTATTTTGTAATATTAATTTTAAGACGAAATATAAGAGATTCTTAAAAGAATATTTTAATTTTTAACATGATGACGCTAAATAAATTAAAAAAATCTAACTCTTCTTTGAATTTTGAAAATCATTAAGTTTTTCACCATTTCCTACATTAAATTATTATTAAAAGTAAAAGAATTTTATACAAGACAAAAATCAATGTTGTGGAAGATTTCAATAATCTTTTTGTTAAATCTCATATTAAAAATACTTGAGATCATATATTTGTTGAATAAATTTATAGTTTAAATTTGTAAATTTAATTCTTTTACTAAAACTTTATCTTTGTAAATTGTTACTCTATACGAATAATTTTCTATTTGATTCTCTTCAAAGATAACAGAGTGGGTAAAGTCTAATTCATTAAAATTTGTTTAGTATATAAGACTTTTCTATTGCAATTCTTATTCTTCATTTTCTGATTTCTATATATTTTTATTTTCTTAGTAAACTTCGTACAAGTTTTTCATTTCAGAATCAGTTAAAAAATAAATTGGAAATGATCTGATATCTTTTTACTTATACTTAATCACATTCAATAATTTGTGTTTCATATAATAAAAGTAAACAACTTTAAATAGAGTTTTGATTTTTTTCAAGTCAAAACCATTTTCTATTGGTTTATTATTAGACAAGTGTTCAAGAAAACTATTTTTCAAATATTAGTTCCTATAAGAATTTTACTTTTCTATTCTTAAATGCAGAGTTTGCTCTAAATCAAAATTTTCATATTGGAATATTGTACCATATATTTAATCGAATTATTACGATTTGAGTCTTAAATTCGGTCCATCATGAATTAAATCAACTTTTTAAAGCATTTTATTTGTAGTAATTAAAATATCTCTCAATTCATATTATAAAAATAATTTTTGTTATAATCCATAAACCTCTCTTCCTAATGAGTGATCTATTTACTTTCCTTCAATCTGGATTAATTAATTATTGTTAGTATCTTGATTCAATTAAATGAGAAGTAAAAAGGCGCTATCCTCCCAAATTAAAGATTTGCGCCATAAAATTTTACGTTTTTTTTATTTACAAATTATAGATAACTTTGATTTTAATTATCTTTTAAGTACAAATCTCTGAATTAATATGATAGAAGATATGAATTTACAATCTATTTTGAGTTCTTTAACATTATCATTCAGATTGTTGATGTAGTCAGAATATTCAAATTAATCATTTTGAATGGAGAATATATCAAAAAAGTTGTCCTTGTTGATTTTTTCAAATTTTTAATCTACTAATGGTATTATTTTAAGTTTATTTGAAATTTTTTTTGATTAATGGAATTTGAGATAATATTCATTTCTAGTTTAATATAAAATACAATAATCTTATTCTAATTTTATAATGGTTAACGGTTTAAATTTAACTAATTATATATTCTTCTTCTTATAAAAAGTGGAAATGGGTAATATCTTCTGCCTTTCTTTCAAAATTTTACACTTTGAATCTAATTTCTAAAGCCTTTGATATTCATCTATTAATAAAATTCGATTATTATAATAAATGAAGATTTCTTAATAAAATTGCAAGGCTTATGAAATATGATAAATTTCATCCTCATCTGTATTTTATAACTAGAGATTATTATAAAAATTAAATATTTTTGAGTTAGTCTAGGATAGAACTTTAAGTGTTTGTAGAAATTCATCAAAAGTAAAATACATTTTTAGATTATAAGCTTTGAAACTAAATTCTTTGTTTGCATATTTGATAATTATTTCAGTCTCTGTATGTTCTTATCCTTTTAAAAAGTGAATTTTTTGTAATAATATATTTTTGTTCTATTTTCTTTTTATCATAAAATAAAATAAAATATGATCAAAATGTTGATGATTAGATATAATTAGTAAAAAAATAATGATAAATAAAATTGGATAAAAAAGCTTGTTGGTTGAGGATAATAAGAAAAATAGAAAGTGAAAAAATATAATGTTAAAATTAAATATATAATTATAATTAATTGATTATAGTTAATAATTGTAAAAAAATAATGAAGAATTAAGATTATGAGGAATATGATTAAGATTATGAAAAAAAAGAGATAGATATAATGGAGAAATTGCATAAGAAGAAAATGGCAGTAATTGAAAGATGCTTTCCTGATAAAAATTCAAAAGGGTAAGGATTGACAATCTAACAGTTTCTGAAAGTAATGTTAGAGCATTTAGATTACAATAAAGATTCAAAAGAGGAGACAAAGAAAATAACATTAGCATTAATAGAATTATTCAAAGAAATAGATGTTAATGGTGATGGTACAATGGAATGGGTAGAATTTAGTAATCACATAATTGAATTGGGATTATTGAGAAATGACAGATCATTTAAAGATGTAATAAAAAGTTATCATCCAGCAGAAAATATAAAAGACGAATAAAAGCATGAAACAGTGATAGATAGAGTATATTTTTTTGACAGATTGAAAATGCTTTTAGTATTAGAGAAGGAGTCTCCAAAGTTTAAGGTATATAATTCAAACACAAGTGAATTGATTTGGAATGTAAATGCTCATAAAGGATATGTATTGTCAGCTGAATTTATTCCTGATTAAAATTTAATTGCAAGTAGTAGTAATGATTTGACAATAAATTTTTGGGACTCTAGTAGTTTTAACTTAAAATAAATACTTTCAGTACCAGAAATATAATTATGTATGAGATATGCAAGATGGAGTTCATCATAATCTAACTTTTTATACACAGGAGGATCAGACTCAATAATTCATATTTATGATACATATGATTTAAAGGAAAGAGGAACTTTATCTGGTTGGAATCCATTTATAAAGAGAGATTCATAATAATATGGTCATTCATCGCCAATTGGTGATATTTTGGCAATAGATCAATAAAACACCTTAGTTACAGGAGGTTTAGATGGAAACATTTGTTTATGGGATAGTGCTACACATCAACCTAAAAAGGAATTAAGAGGACATGAAAAAGGTGTTTATAGTTTAGATTGGAGTGATTGGAGTCCTATGAATTAATGTTTGATTAGTGCTGGATTAGATCATGAAGCATTTGTCTGGAATACTTATGTAAAAGAAAAGATTTTCTTATTAAGAGGACATAATCATCCACTTGTTGGTGTTAAATGTTTGCCTAGAACATCATAAGTTGTTACTGCTGATATTTCAGGGATGGTCAAAGTATGGGATGTCAGAAATTTTCTTTAAATCTAAACGTTTAATGTTCCTGCTGATGAAATCTAAGCTTTTACATTAACATATCCAAAAAAACAGATTGTTGTTGGTGCTAGAAAAATGTTCTTTTATGAATATGATGAACCTAAGGATTAGATGCTTACTGATGAAAAAATGTGTTTAAAAGTTTTATATAATTAAACCTTAACTTGTTTTATTACTCTTCATCCTGATAGTGTAAAAACTTGGGATGCTAGAACTGGAAAATTGTAATAAGTTTATAGAGAATTAAGTGTTGCTGAATTGACAACAATGATTATTGATGCAAGACAAAGAAAATTATTTATAGGAGATGCTGAAGGTAGAATTTTCACAGTAAATATTAAAAATGGAGCTAAAATGAAAAAATTTGAAAGACATCATAAAATGATTACCGATTTAGCTCATTGGAGTAATGATACAAATAGGAGAGTTATCAGTTGTAGTCGAGAGGATACTGTAAATATTCATGATGAAGATTCTCAAGATGCTCATAAATCTTGTAGATATAAAATGAAATAGCACCATTTAAGTGTTAATTCATTACATGTTAAATAAGAAAGTGAACATCTAGTGAGTTGTGCAGATGATGGAGCCATCTTTATTATAGATTTAGTTTCTTACAGATAAGAATTGGTTTGGAAGTGTTAGTATGAATTAAAGAAGGTTATGTTTTTGGAATCGCATAACTGCATTATAAGTGTGGATTCTATTGGAAATGTTTATTTTATAGGAGTTCTGGAAAGCAAATTTAAATCAAAATTGTTGTTGTCCAAAACCTATAAAGCTATATCTTTAACTAATTAAGAAGAAACAGTAAATTTTATACATATACTTATAGTTTCCTGTCACTTCTATCAACTATCATGATAATTTATTATATTTGGGAGATGAGTTAGGGAATTTGAAGATTTGGAATATTAAATTAGTTTTGGATAAAGTAGATCTTCATTAGGTGGAATAAAAGATTAAGACAAGAAAGAATAATGATGCTGATACATTTGTAACAGCAATGGATTATGGATAAGAAGATATTGCTTAAGTATTAATTATAGTAATAACAATAGATATTTGTTTTAAGTGATATTAAGGAGATAGGATATTAAAGAAAAGCTCACTAGGATGGTATCACATATATAGAAGTTTGTAAAGATGGATTTCATTTTGCAACATCTTCATTTGATTGTTGTTGTTATCTATGGTCTTTTAAAAATGGATAAATCTCAAAAATAGGAGCTTTGATTTTAGGTCATGATGCTAATTGGGGTTATAGAATAGATGAAAAATCTAGATCTGAAGCTGCAGAATAAGAAGCTAATGAATTATTGGAAGAACTAAAAGATACGATCATTCCTACAAAAGTAGAAAAAAATGATGGATAAATCAGTTCTTCTAAACAATAACTTTTAGATCGACTATATGGTAGTAAACAATAAAAAGAATTATAGTAGTAATAAATACAAGCAGAAAAAGAAGATAAAAAAGAAAAAGCTTTAAGTAGAGCAAAAAATGCTCTTAAGACTTATGAATAATTTAAATCAAAATAATTTACATACTAAAATATTTAAAATCAAAATGATTAAGATCAAAAAAAGATGGATGACTCAGAATTTAAAGATGTATACTAAGAATAAGATTATGATGAAGAAGAAGAAGATAATTATAATATACTTACTGACCTTCAAGAATTCAAACAATAATAATTATCATCAGGTGTATATTCAAGCAAAAATGCTTTCAAAACCAAACTAATTAAAGGACATCATAAATCTAAGTTTTCTTGATATATATATAATTTCATTCAATTCCAATATTATAATGACCAGGTTAAAATAGTAAAAATATTTAGTGGTAGTGAAGCTCACTAGAATATATTCATCCCGAATCACTGTCCCTTTATCTATGAAAACCAACATTATTATTCTAATATTTAAATATAATTTATTACACTCTCTAATAATTATCACATTATTATTACATTTTTGACCCCAATTTATAGATTTTCCATATCATTGATGTGAGATATATTAATTATTATAAACCTCATTATAAATTTATCGGATAAAATATAAATCTTTTTTATTCGATTAGCTTCATATATCAATAATAGTTCTTATATTTTTCTTTGTATTCATTTTCATAAATTTTGCTGTTTATTTTAGTATTTGAGTCAGATAGTTTAGTCAAAATTTTGCGAAATATTTAAAAAGGTGTTGATAACATTTTTCTAATTATTTATAACACTTTACAAATAAAAAAGTTAATAAACAAAAACATATAGAATACATGATAGTTTTAATTCATTTTAAATTTTCTAAAGGTAAACCAATGCAATAATGTCCAGGACTAAATAGTAAATAAATATCCTATCTAGGTAATGATAAGTTATCTTAATCTTTTTAATATTTTTGTAAATCAAGCTACTTATTATCAGAATCTATAAAATAGAAGTGCAAATTAAGATTTAAACAATTTGCTAAAATAACTAATAACACTTAAATATTATCTGTTTCTAGTTCCCATTATTAAATTTATTGCTCTGCTTCTTCACCCAAAAGAACTTTATACTCAGAACTAAATACTCAAAGAATTGATTTACTTATTTTCCAAATAATATTGAATGAGATTTTTTGCGTAGATAATAGATAAGGCATAAAAAATACTTTTTGTATTTTTAAACTCATTTTCAAATGATTATATCTAATTTTTTTTTCCAAGAATTTCATAAATAAAACTGACAAATATTTGTTTTAAATCTTTCCTAATTTCATTTGGAAAGTGTGATATTGTCTCATGAAGAAGGTTAAAATCAATTTTTTATAAAATTTCTAAAAACTATTAAAATTGTGAATCTTCAAACTTTGTTAGTACTATTAAAAGATATTAATAAACGAAGGCAGTATAAAAACAATTTCCATCTCCTCTCACTCTTTTAAACCCTCTTAACTTGATTTATGAAAACATGGCTTGATTCATTGAATATTCATAAATTAACTCTTATTAATTCAAATCTTCACTAACAAATTTCTATTATTCAACAGCTACATTTCTAGCCTAATTAGTTTACTTATATAATTGATAAATAATGGCAGAAGGTCCACTTTTCTAGAAACAACCCTTAGGATGACCAATATAAAGCTCATTTTATCCTTTAATTATAAAATTTTCTCTTTTTGCTGTTCCGAACTACAAAAATGATTAAGTTTGCACATCAAATATGTTTAGTTTCCTATTAATATAAATAACTATTACATGTTCATATTTTCAACTATATCTTTTAATAAAGTTTAATCTGCTAAGTCGAATTGGACATCCCAATCCAAAATTTTTTTCTTTTCATTTTAGTTTTTGATCTTCTCAGTATTCATTTCTGTAATACTAAAAATCCAGTTACGAATAAAAATTATGCATAAAACAAAAAAGTTAAAATTATTTTGCATATTAGAATAATACAATTCAAAAAGATTCTCTTTGAATACCTTTTTTATTAGAATTAAAAACTTATTTTTCAAGTACTTTTAGTTTTTTAGAATTTATTTTCCTTTTAAATATAACTACCACTCTATTAATTCGGTTGCTCTGCAAATTTTTTATAACAAATCCTAATCATTATTCTCAACAATCTATTTTAATGCAAAGAAAGCAAAAATGTTATAAAACTAATTTTAATCATCTCTGACATATCTTAAGGCTTCAAACTGATTCCATATTTATAAATTGAAATTTTCAACTTATAATTAAGGTTCATCTTTAATTGAACCAATAGGAGAAGTAAATTACTTATCATTATTATGATTAAGAAGAGATTAAAGGAATATATTTAGTTTAATTGCTTCAGGGGTAGAAGAATTACTTGAACAAGCTCCCATGATAATTTGTTTGTATATAATAAATAATATAAATTTATATATTTATGAAAAAATACAAGGCAAGTTCTTCAGTGGATTGCATTTATATGGAAAGCATGTTAAATAAATAAATGAGATCTAATATAAGAATGATACAAAGCAAATAGTTAAATCTACCACAAACTCCAAAACCTATGTCATAAAATTAATCAAGAAGAATCGTAAGTAGGTTAAATAGTTAGGGTAAGAAACTGCAAAGGAGCCTTAGTAATTCGTAATTCAGCTGTAGGACAACAAGATTCTTATGAGTTAATTGTGTTAACCTGTGATTATTCATTCTCATAGAATTGTCTCGAGTAATAAGCATTCCATTCTTGAAAGTCCTAAGTTTAAAAGAAATTGTTTACATTTGGATTAACATCAAATTTAAATTAAACATTAACATTTCTTAAAAAAGGGTGCATAAGTTTAGTCATCTCAAAAATAAACTAAACCATGGTATCCTTTTGCAAGAATGAAAAGAAAGCAATTATTGACTAATTTTTTTGATTAAAAATAAAACCAAAATACTTAAAACAATTAGATCATAACTCATTTTCAGTCTATGGCTGATTTAACAGGTTGGTAGACTAATGAAGATCCATAGATGGAAATCCAATGAAATAATTAATATTTTTATTAATATGTAATCATTTACACACATTTCTTAATTATATGAAAAATGAATTACTGATAACAAATTTTATTTATTTAGATTCCTGATACTCTGTTGATTCTTATTTATCAATATAAAATATTAATAATGGCACGATTAATGATTGCAGGAAATTCAAAGATTTAATAGAGATAATCAAAATGGGGTTTTGTTGAAAATGAAGAAATCCCTATTCAAAAAGAAAAGATTTTAGCGATATATGTTGATGACATTTTAACAGATTAGAAAATCACTCCTTTAAACATTTAAATTAACATTAAAGAATTGAACAAATATAAAATAGATTCACTTATAAAAAAAGAATTACATGACTTTCTAAAATAAAGGGATATCTTAAATAAGAATATTTTTTTTTATGATATATATGGCAACTAAATAAAATACTATTCAAAGTCATGTAAATCATATCTATTCAGTACAAGATCGAATTTATTTTGGTTATTTGTAAGACCATTCGATCACTATTTAAAATAAATTAATAAAATTGATAGAGGAGCAGCTCAAAGCTATCATTCTAATGATGAATTACTATAACTACCTATTGGAAAACTAAAATCCTGTCTTTCTCTCATATCTGTTCATTAGGAAGTACCAAAATCACCTCCAACAACACATAGAGGCCTATTTTTAACAAAAGAAATGAGAAATTTACAATCAGTTTATGATAATTACACAAGAACTACAAGTGTTTAATCTTCGAGACCCTTTCTTTCACCAAAAAGCTAGAAATAAAGCTTAGCCTTCACAAGCAGAATTAAAATGAATAAACAAGAGAAGTACTTTATTGAAAACATGTAGAAATGTGAAGAGGAATTGCAAACATATATAGAAAATATGCATAGTTAATTATCGTAAAAAACGGATGATGTTGAAAAAATTATTAAATTTTATGATCAAATTTAATATCCTACTCCAAAAAGCAGAGCATTTGAATCTAAGACTCTTTCATAAAGAATAAGTCATCCTTTATAATTAATTTTAGAAAAAGAATAATTGAAAAATAAATTTTAACCAAGGAATCACTTTTCTGATGAATAAAATTGGTTGGAAAGCATTCCTTTGCTTACTGAAATGAATATACCTGAAATTTAAACAAAATATAAGCTAAATCGAGCTTAATTATATGCTTTTTATTCATTTTTTAAAGTACTTCAATTATTAACTGCTATAACATAAAAAAAAAACAAAAGCAAGTTAACTAAAGGAATCTCATATGAGTTTTATAGATAAGGAATTGAAAACATATAAGAATAATCTGAATATATGGCTAAAGGAATATTCAATATAATAGATTCTAGATGTTCTGGATTTTTGGATTGGCAACAATTTTTATTTCTGATGAGTTCAGTTTAGGCCAAAACAAAAGAAGAACGGATTGATCTGTTTATAAAAATAGCAGATATGGATAGAAATGGTAAACTCTCTTATCCAGAAGTTTAAAAATTAAGTCTTTAAACTATGAGTAAGATAGTCAAAACATAAGATTTCAATTTTCTAAATGATATATCAGAATTTTTTACTAGAGTAATTTTTGACTCTGTCAATATCCCATATGATAAAGAAATAGATTTTCATTGCTTAAAGGATATCATTACAAAAGGACACCCTCATTCGGATTTGCTATGCTTATTTTGTGGGGCTGAATTTTGATATTGATTGTTTTATTATTTTCTCAATAATTCCATATTTCTTAAGTCAATCTAAATTTTGATTAATTAGTTAAATAAGAAGACTTTTAAACATTAACATATATGTAATAATTTCATTCATTTAATTCAAGTTTTCTGATATGTTTAAAACATATTTTTTAATTATTCATAATTCATTAAAAGAACAATTAGCGGGATATTTTTTTAATTTTATAAATCCGTTTTAATTATTTCTGGTGGTTAACATTCCTAGAAAATATTCATTTGTATTTACAAACATCATTGGATTTTCTTTTATGCCATCAATCTTTTTTTGGTTTTTTCAATATTTTCAATATTTTCATATTTAAACTGATTGATTTTTAAATCTCTTTTATTTATTTATTTAATAAAAATTTTCCTAACTCAAGCCTTTTTTGTCAATTAACCAAACAAATGAATTCAAATTGCAATAAAGATGGATCAATTACAAAATGGAGTGATGAATTAGAAATATCTGAAGAAGCTTAAACAGTTAAGAAGACAGAGATCTGTCCATAACGACTAAATTTTTTAGTCATCGAAACTCAAAGTGACAGTCTTTCTTATAGAAATCTTTTAAAATATAAATGCGCATTAGCCAAAAGAATCTAAAAAGCTAAAGTTTGATATATTATAAGACATTTTTTCTTTATACATAAATTAACAATATTGATAAAGATTCATGCAGACTTAATCAATCAACCTTTTTATTTAACTGCTTTTATTCTTAAATATCTTTAGAATTATCTAGAGTAATGGTAGTTTTGCAATTTTAAGTAGCATTTTCATCATTCTATCTCTTCATGACACCATAAGTTTTTTGAATTAAGTTGTCAAGATTTTAGAAATATCAAAACTGTATTTAAATTTCCTTTTTTTTTTATGAACAAATAACAAAAAAATTTTCTTAGTAAGTAAACTATATCTTATTCTTAAAAAGTCAAGGAAAAAAAAAAGAGTGCTATTAAACCAAACAAAATTTTAAGGACTTTTAAAAAAAATTTGTTAACTAATTAATTAACATCTCAAATAAATCGAATATTTGCGATTTATCTAACATTAACTATCATTTATATAAATAAATAAAAAAGAGAAGATTTTTGTTTTTTAATTCAACTGAGGAGTTTATTCACTAAATTTAAAGAAATTAATATTTCAATTTCTATAGCAGTAATGTCTTACTATCATTAAAGTTCATTCAAAATGCCAAGGTTTTAAATTATTGTTTAAATAATATTTCAAAAGAAGAATAATAATTAAAATATAGAAATTGGAAGCTGCATTTTTAAATTGTGAAATTTCCTAAAAAGTTTATTATTATCTTAAACTTTTGGTGAGTTTAAGGTAATTAGAGATGAAGTTTCAATTATTGTGTGTTTACTAAATTTAATTTTCCTTCTCAAATTTGCATTTATTAGATTGGATTAAATCCAAAAATAATGAAATATTAGCTTATTATAGTATTAATATATAATTATGATATAAGTTAGTAAATATAGAAAGTTTAAATAAAATGCAGATAAAAAAATTTAGGTCTCAATTAATCTACAAATAATTTTTCTGCTATTCTAAATTCATAGAAATATTCACTTAATTCTATTTCCTTATATCTAGTTATAATTAAGGATTTTTACATTCTTTCTTTATTTTGAATTCTATTTCTGAAGTCCAATTTTAATTTTGATTTATTTGCCCAGCCATGAACATAAGGAAATTTGTTTTTGAATATAAACACCAGGATGTTTATCAGAGATTATGATTTTATGCTCCAATTCAAATTCTCTACTTTAGTATTCTTTTCAACTTAAATATTAATTAAGGCCTTTTTTCATCCATATATTAAAATATTAGAATAACAGTTTATCATATAGATAAATTTTATTATATAATCGACAATCTACATAGAATTAGATCCTTTTTTGCAATACGAATAGAATATAAAGTTTCAAGCAATTTTATTAAATTTTAGAAATGAATTAATTTTTTTTAGAAACCAAAATCAAAAATTTATCATTTGAATTTAATAATAACTAGAAATTGTTTTTATAGAAATTAAAAATTTTAACATGCTCATAAATATTTTCAAAAATAAAAATATTTCACATTCTTTATTGTTTGCCTTCACTTTCCCAAATTGATAATAAGAAAACTCTTAAGCATCAAAGTTATCCCATTAGAAATCATAACCCAATAATGATTATCCATCTATCAAATTAGCGTTTATTTGAAGATCAAAACTACCCACAGAAAAAAAGTTTTTATTGATTTAAATTATATCTTATTATTAATAAATTAATCCTCTTTTTTAATGATTTTCTTTTTTTTCTTTTTTAGGGTAAAATTAATTATGATTGAATCAAAAAATAAATTCTTTCCAGCTTGATGAAGGATACCTAAATATTGGGTTTCCTTCATTGTTAGATTAAAAAATCATTAACTTATTTTTACGATTATAAATATCCCAGAAACAATTACCTTTTCTATAAATTCTTGTTTTGGATTAGATCTATAGCAAATCATTTGATTATTATTTAAATTTTATGAAAAAAACTATTGTTGATTTTAATAGAGTTTTTTTTTCTTTATCAGCATAATTTAAAATGTAGTTGAAATAATATTGAGGCAAAATATGTGAAAAATAGTAAAGGGTAAGTTATTAATTGTAATTTAGGCTGTTGGTAATCTAAATTCATTTGCATTTGATCAATAATTTATCTCTAACATTGTTATTAATAAAAAAAAAAAAATTACTTTATTGACAAGTTAAGGAAAAAGTTGATACATTATTACATTTTATTGCTTCAAAGAATTGCTATAAGAATTTATCCAGATAAGTTGTTCCTAATTTGACTAGCAATCTAAATTAAATCTAACATATCTAAATATTAATATTTATTAATTTCTAATTAGGTTTCCTTTCAAATATTGTTTATTTTGCTGTTTTATTATTTTTTCAAATCTAAATTAATATTTTATATTGTTTCAAGTAATTCTATACGTCAGAATTTTCATTATCTAGATTTTCAATCTATTTGATTAAAGCTTGAATTTCATTTATTTTGAGAAAAAAATTACAAATTTTCAACTTTCTATCATATGTACATGTTAGTTTTTAGATTATATTAAAATATAGACTAAATAAAGTAGGATTTATAAAATAAGTATTTAAAGAGTTTAGAATAAAAATTTGAGATTGCTTAAATCATATAATTAATTTAATATTCTAGTTTATAATAATTATTTTTGTGTATTTTTGTATTTGTATAGAAATAGTTCTAGATTTATTTTTATGTGAATATATATACATAATAATTAAAAAATGAGTGTTCGAAATACCTTAGTATATGAAAGTTGAATGTATATTATTTGATTAATTTAAAAATGCTAATATCTGGAATGCAATTGAGGCATTCGCTAACACCTCGTTATTTTGCAGGTGTGTTTAATAAGCGTAAGCCCACTAAGAAAGATCTTGATCATTATGATGTTGTAATTATTGGGTGCAATTTAGGAGGTGTTTTGAGCAGACAACTTGATAAGGTATTAGGATATTTAGATAATATATTAGGTTTCACATGGAAAATACAAGACTATGGTTGTATTGGATTAGAATATCAATTAAATAACACCAATTAGATAGATTTATGAATAATAGAAGACAGCGAAAACAGATTTCTTGTTAAATGCCAAATTGTCACTTAATATGTTCACAGCTCATTCAGATTAAGTGGGATGCCAAACAATATTACCTGAAGAGAATGCTATAATTTTAAGAAACGGTAGAAGGATTGGTTATGGTCAATTAGTTGTCGCTATGGGTATTATATATATGTTAACATTTTGTTAGGTTAATAAGTTAATTATGATTCAATTAAAGGATTTGAAGATGCTTGGTAAGATTTTGATTCACCAGTATTTACAAATCTTGATCATCCAAGTTGGCGTTCATCTAATCATAAATATACAAGATGGCATTATAATTTCAATCATGGTGAAGCATATTTCTGCATTCCTTAATTCCCATTTAGTGGAGAAGTAGAGTCATATAATTTCTTATTGAGTTAACGCATTTGGGAATGGTAAACAGCAAATGGTCGTTAATCACCAATTAAAAGACTCACAATTATTTAACCAAATGAGAGATTTGTTTAATACAATGATTCAGGTGATTAATTCTTCAAAGAAGAGATTAAACGTAGAAACATTAATGTTGAATATGGTTTGAAATTGGTCGAGGTTAATAAATAGTAAAACACAGCAACTTTTGAAGATGTTAAAACTGGTAGCAGATAAACAAGACCATTTAATCATTTATATGCAGTAGCTCCAACTAAACCTCATGATTAATTAGTGAAGGCTGGCCTTACTACTTAAAAGGGATTATTAGATGTTAATATCAAAACATTATAGCATAATAAATATAAGAATATATTTGGTCTTGGTGATGTGAATGATGTTCCTACAACTAATTGTTTCTGGGCAGGATTCCATTAACTTCACGTTGTTAGAAATAATATAGAAAGAAATATTGCAGGTAAATCACTAAATGCAGAATATGATGGCTATAGTAAAGTACCAATTTTGCTAGGATAAAATACACTAACATTCTTGTGCCACAAATATAATAATGAGAATGCATGGCATAATCTTTATTTCTCAAATGGAGGCTTTTTGGCAGCTCTAAGGTAAAACTTTTAATTAATTAATTACCTAGATATTATAATTGGTGCAAGAACTTTAAGAAAGCATTCATAGACATCTATCTGGAAAAGAATTGGGGACCTCCTTATTATAAAATTAAGAAGAGTTTTAAATTGCCAGAAGGGGAAAGTAATGATCATGGATTTTTGGCTAAGTTTTTACCTGGCAAGAAAGAAGCACATTGAAATACATACAAATAAATATATAAAATATATTAAAATGATTAAATTATAATAATATATAAAGATCTTCTTTGTGATCCTTTACTATTTTTAATATCATTGCTTGTATGTAAAAGTAATTACCAAAAAAACTCTAAATTAAAAATTTTAAAAGAATAATATTTATAAGATAGAGAAATATGACATTATTACTTATAATTAAATAAAAATATTGGATACCCCAAAATTAACATAGGAACAAGTATTTATCTAAAAGATAAATGACTAATAAAATTAAAAATTCATGACTGCATGAATCTAAATACATTTATTTTTGCAAATATAGATATTTCAAGATATGTGGAGTAGAATTCAATAATGAAATGAAAATTTTGAGATGGCTAACTCAAAATATTGTAAATACTGTTATTTTGATATGATTTAAATTTTTTATTATTATTATAAATATGTTAGACCTTTATGATAATTATTTTGAGGAGAATCGGAAGCAAAAATTGCTGCTTACCCTGAATGGAGATTTGAATAGTGCAATTATAACGATGGAATATTCACTAGTAATATGAGGTTAATAATAATCAGATCAGTATGAAAGATATTAAAAAGAAGGCTGAACATTTCTATTCAATAGAATTAGATAGACTTAGATTATTTACATAACAGGGAGTTGAGATTTTCGAAGAAGATTTAATGTTTCTAAAGGATGGAACTTTGCTTTATGTTTCTGATTGTAATTAAATAATTTTCTATAAAGTAACTCTTTAGCTAGGGATTTTGATGCTTATTCGTAATTTAGTGTGTATTAGATAATGAAGACATTGGGTGAGGGAGGTTTTGGAAAAGTAATGTTAGGTAGACATAAGCTAACTCAAGAATAAGTTGCAATAAAAATTATCGATTCTGGGAAATTATGGAATGCCGCTGATATAGATTTGGTTTTTCGAGAAGCAGAAGTAATGAAAAATTTAAGACATAAAAACATTATAAAGATTATAAATTGTTATACTTTACCTAGCATGCAAGTTGTTTTAATAATGGAATTTTTAGAAGGAGGGGATCTGGTAGATTATATTTAATGTAATTTTTAATTGAGTATAATAATTAGAAAAAGGTAAACTTACAGAAGAAGAAGCTCGAGTTATATTTCGATAAATAGCTGATGCAATTTGTTATTGTCATGATTAAAAGTTAGTTCATAGAGATTTAAAGTTAGAAAACATTTTATTAACTTCAAAGACAGATAAATAAGTAAAAATTATAGATTTTGGAATTGCAACAGTGGCAACAAATTTTATTATTGATAAAATAGATTTGGGAAGTTTAAGCTACATGCCACCTGAAGTGATATCTGGATAGATTCAATCAATCAGACCATCTATTGATATTTGGGCGATGGGAGTCATATTGTTTGCTCTTGTTTGTGGTACATTACCATTTACTCGACCAATATAAGAATAAACAATATAAAACATTTTAAATTTAAAATACTAATTTCCAAATATCAATTTGAGTAAAGAATACAAAGAATTGGTTTAATGTATGTTGCATCCAGATCCAAATGAAAGATATTCAGCTTATCAAGTATTGGGTCATCCTTGGTTAAGAAAGAGTTAGAGCACTCTACAAGCTCCTTCGAAATTATTTCCAAAAGGAATAATAAAAAGAGATTACACTAAAATAAGTGGAGGGAATAGTGGAAATTCAAAAAAGTTGATGACATCTTCAATGATGGTAGGTCGAGATTTTACTTGTTTACAATAAAATAAGGCAAATTATTCTAATGGATTAGAATCTCCAACTTTGATTATTCGAAGCCCTTCCTAGATAAAACCATTTGAGAGTTTAAAATAATAGACTGAAATTTTAGAAGCTTAGGAGCCTGAATAACAACAAGAGGAAAAGAAATTAATAAAAACAGTAAGAGAACGAAAGATGTCTAGTTTTAATTAAAAATTAATTGATAAAATCTTTAAAGAAGACAGAATAATAAAAAGAACAGCTCATACGCATCCATTAAATTCACCAAAAGAATCAAAAGAACGTACTCCAATAGAGCGTGGTGCAATTCAATATTAGTCTGCTAGAGTTCACAGCAAGTAGTCTTCTGAAGATTTCACAAAAAGAGTGAAATCAAAATAGATTAAGTTAAGAACTATAATAAATTTGAGCCAATTAACTGATTTAAAGGTTCTATATGGAGAAGCTCTAAAAAACAATAATGAGCCAAAGAAAATAATTACTGAGTAGAACGATTCGTTAAATTTATACAAATTATAGTTGTCGTTTCGGCATAGAAAAATGAGGAGTGACTAATTATTATAAAAGACATTTAAATCCGGTGAATTAAAGATTAGCGATTTATATAGTACTTTATTTAAATGATTTAAATATAAAATTTTATTTAAATAGAAATTATCAAAAAATAAAATGCAAAATTACGATCATAGATTTCAAAATAATTTGGTATGTTTGCAAATTATTACCAATTTTTTATTGGTTAATTAACATTTAAGCAAACAAAAATAAATTTTAAAGATCCCACAGCATAAAGTTGCGCAGATTAAAAACAGCAATTAGAAATCATATGAAATCCACATTTGCAAATGCTGCTACAATTGGCACTATATGTTAGAAGAATTGCTTAAATAGAATTAAGTATATAGGCGCAATTAGCTTGATTAATTGGTAGTTAGACAACCATTGGGCATATTTACACAAACCCTAATGATGATATTATGATATTTACCCATTTAGGATTGTCCATCCTAGTAAACAATACAATGTACATGTCCCCTAATAAGATAAACAAGCATAATGTCCACCTTGAATTGATTAACAAGGTTAGAATGATTATCTTGCCCAATAATGTCCTATAAATAGATGACTCTTTAATATACCTTTCATACACTTGTATGGCATTCTTTATGTGTATTCTCATTTTAATGCTCCTGTAGCTATAAAACTCAATTAAGTACAATCCTAACCAGTGGTTTATTGGAATGCTATAACAATTCAAATAGAAATGATCACAAGCTTAATATACATAAATTGATTTAAATATATATAATTATTATGATTTAAAAATGCTCATTGTAAAACTATTATTATTAGCATTCCCAATATTATTGAATATGAATTTGGTGGAACTGGATTTGTACCAATTTAAAGGGTTGTATTTGTAGGAGTTGGACCTGGAGTTGGACCAGGACCTGGACCTGGATTTACTGGATTGGTTGGACTTACTGCTTTGAGACCACAAACAAACTAATTTATTATTATCATAAATTACATTATTGTATGGAGAAACACATACTTAACATACTTTTTATTAATCTAAATAAAATCCAGCTAAACAATTTTAACATCCTCCATTTGCTGGATCAAGTTGATAACAATTAGCAGTGTTTGATATATTTGGATTCTCTGGTGGTGATAGAGTTACACTTGTTGCAAACAAATTGACGCAACCACCGCTTTATAAAACATATCCAGTTGAACATGTCAAACAAACATTACCATTTGGACCTGTGCATGTTGCACAATTTGCTTAACATGGATAACATGGTTTAAATGTTAATTGTTTATTATTTATTGTTGTTTATGATTATTTCATGTAGTATCCATCCTAACATGTAGTGCAAGTCTATATTATTTATAAATATGCTTACATATTTTGAATCACAAGTCTTGCAACGAAATGGACATGCAAAACAGTTTCCACTTGTATTGTCTAAGTAATTTCCATCTGAACAACCACTACATTATGTACTCTTTTAATTATTCTATGCTGTAGCCGATATTAGAGTACACTTTAAGCATCCAGTCTAACATGCAACACAAACATTATTTTAAGTATCAATTATATATCCAGGTTGACATGAAGTACATAATAATCCAGAGTTATCACCATTTGCATTACATGTCAAACATTATTGATTGTTGCTTGTTGCACATGTTTAACAAGTATTACCATATAATGTATATCCTGGTAAGCATTATTGGCAAGAGCTTGAACTTGATGATGAAATTGTATAGCAAGTTGGCAAATTTGGAACACTTACACATACACCATTATACAAATAATAATTGTTTTGACATTAAATTACTGTTACTTATGTAAATGTTGAATTTTCCAAAGGACCTTAACATAGTAATGCACCTGGCTGGGAGCATATTGTGCATAAAACTGGTTAATCATTTGAACTTTAGGTCATATAATAACCATTCTAACAAACCGTACAGGTAGTTTAACTTGTACTACCAGACATTAATGTGCATGAACTGCAATTTTATGAACAAGTTACACAAGTTGAACCTTATAATGTGTAAGATTTTCCTAAATATTATGGTAAACAAGTTAAGCATTATGTATTATCTGAACTACATTAAGAACAAGCAGTTATTTGACATGGTTAAGTTACTGTTCCTTATTGTGTACATGTAGGTGTGGAACCAGTAGCTGCTAAATTATATCCAGCAGGACACATACAGTCACCAACAGTTGAGTTAGGATCAAGGGTGAAATTAGGATAACAAGCTGAACAAGTATTAGTAGTTGAACAAGTCTAGCAATATTTAGGACATTTCACACATTGTCCATAATAATTAGTATTTGAACTAGAACTGTAGGTAACAAAGGTTGTTTTCGAACGGTCAATAATAGTAGATTAATACCAGAAATAGCCTGGTAAACATTAAGTGCAAGTATACAAAGATGGACAAATTTAGCAACCTGCAGTACAAGCTGAGCAGAATTTATTAAAGGTTGTGTAATAATTGGCATTGGTTTTTGGTGCAGTTAAAGCAGATGAAGACCAATAAAAGTCCCAATTGAAATAAAAACCTTCTTAACATTATGTACAGATTCCATTGCTTGGATTAATAGTTTAACATCCATTAATAGCAATACAGATATTACCAACAAGTGTGTATCCAGAATCGCATTTAGTGCAGGAGAGTGCTAGAAGTGTGGTTGAGTAATTAAGTTCACTGCATCCAGTAGGCATAGGAGCGCACGTTTAATTGTTATTCAAAGTAATGAGGAAGAAGTTAGTATTACAAGTGATTGAGGAACATGAGTTAAGATTGCTACAAGATGTACATAATCCATTGATAATAGACATGCAAGGCATACAACTTTGATTAGTCCAGAAATATCCAGAATTACATGTAGGTGAGGTATATCTAGGTGTGAGTAATGAAAAGTTTTATATATTAGGTTGAATTGCACCTTTGGAGAAGTATAAAGCATTGTTTGGGGCTGTCACAGTTGTAGTTGAGACTGGAGAGACTGAAAGATTGACAGGATTGGCTCTACAAACAAACTAAAGAAATAAATGGATAAATATACAGCATTTTGAGGATAAACGCATTGCATACAAACATTGTTTTGAATTTATGAGGATGCTGATTAAGTAAGCCATCCACTGGTTAAATAGAAACCATAATTACAAATTTGACAACCATTACTTTATGTTTGTTAAAGTGATGAAAGAATTTTATTGTTATCAGTTGATAAGCAATTTGCATCATCTTGAACACAACCTCCATTTTAAAGATAATATCCAGTAATACAGGCTTGACATACATTTCCAGGAGCTATACACTAACTGCATCCATATTGACAAGCTAAGCATTAGCCATTGGAATTATAGTAACCATTGATACAAGTAGTACAATTTGATGCATCTTAACAAACTAAACAAGTTGTTGAATTGGAACTATCAGAAGTACAAGCTGAACAAGTAGAACCATTCTTAAAATATCCAGGTAAACAATTAGAGCAATCTCCAATGGCAGGTCCTGTACATTACAAACAATTGTTAACACAAATTTAACATACCTAATTAGTATCAGAATAATATCCATTTGTGCATGCAGTGCATGAAGTTTAACCACTAGTATTCAATGAACAAGCTCCTGCTTAACAATTTTAACATTAAAAACATGTTGATCCACTTTATAAAAATGAAGGCCAGCATTCAGCACATTATTTACTCCAATCACTTTATGGAGTTTAACCATCTTGCTAAG